CCCCCTTCCCCATTAGCCCCACCCCCATCTTATACTTGCCTATCCTCTCTACTCTGAGATTTTTGTTGTGTGGCCCACTGCCGGACATAGTCTTCAAAAAGGAATCTCCCTCATTTTTATGAATCCTGTGACTGAAAAAACTACAAGTTGCATCAGCCACCGTACATGAATCCTCTTCTGATCAGACCAGTACGGAGTGGATGTCACCACTGTGACGTCTGTGTCAGTTTTATCCTCCATCTTGCGATATTGGAAAAAAACTAAGATGTTGGTCTATGGGGAATCGGATGTAAAGGGACTTGTCTGTTTTCTTTAGATTACCCCCGATCCGACACCATGAGGTCCGTTGAAACAGATCTTTTGATATGTTTGTTTTTCCGGACCTGGCTGGAGTCGGGGGTTACTGGGTGTAAACTTGCCCATTTACACAGCTGCCCATAGAATAACATTGGGCATCCGATCAAATCCGCTTGAAAACCTGGCAGGCGGACCTAGTACCGCCCATGTGAATAATGCACTAGTGTGGTGACATCACCACACTTAAAGTCCATTCATTCTTCCTCCTGTCCATTCATTCTTCCTCCTGTCCATGTTGCTGAATGTTCGTTCCTAGAGCAGTGATAGATGGGAGAATCTACTGGAGCAAGAGCATTGCACCTGCAATCCACTGATCACAGTTGCAATGCTTTACTTACTGCAATGCAAAGAACAAATGTGCATTTATTATTTCTTTTTCTCAAAAAGTGTACTTTACCTTTTATTCTATCCTACCTTAATAGGATCCACACACAGAAACTCCATATAGTTGACCAGTAACCGCAATAACCAGTTTGCTCTTGTGTTCCAGAAAATTAAAAATTCTAAATGATGTAGAGCTGGAATGTAAGACATATTAACTTTTACAATACTTACATGAGTTTTACATTATAGTAACCAATTGATAACCTTCATTTTATTTGGCTATTGTGGACATGGTTCGCTGTACAGAAAGCATTTAAATTAGTTTATAATTTCTCTTGCAATTTCTGACATGTGAAAAACCATTCTGCTATCCTAGAATCTGAAAGATCAGTATGACAGCGTGTCCTTTAACAGGCATACAAATAATGCATGCTGTCTGTTCTTTTAGCTGGTAGAGACAGTTGTAGCATGTTTGTGAACATAACAAATAAAGCACACAGATCTTTAATCACATGCTCACTTTCTGATGAATAGAAGTTTTTGTGTCGAGTTAAAGAGTGGCTCTTTCCTGATAAGTAATCCAATTTAACTTGTGCATAAGCCAGCTGACTGATGTAGGGCTGCAACCAACAATTATTTTCTTAATCAATTAGTTGGCCAATAATTTTTTCAATTAGATAAAAAGAAAAATTAAATATCATCTTTTATTTAAAATACCCAAATGGAGTGTTACAAACATACATTTTAAGTGTATGTATGTATATGTATGTGTGTATATATATGTATGTATATATATATATATATATATGTGTGTGTATGTATGTATGTATGTATATATATATATATATATATATATA